GAACCTCATTAAGAAGCATGAGCATGTATTAAAAAAAGGCCCCACATCTGCATGTTTGACTTCAAATATCACCGAAAAACAATGGTCTGGAGAGAGGGAATAAAACAGTTATTTGATGTTCTGCACAAATAAATCGATGAGTGAGATTCTGAACACGCTGCGTGATACGTGAGTGCCATCTGACGGTAATCTCAGAAAACAAAAGGAAGGCATCCGCTATAGCAAGTGCACAGCTTGCTCGGACAATCGCGGAGGCCATATTTTGCAGATTTCCATGTAGGTGGCAGGACTGTATCGCCTTATGCCATCTTTGGCTTGCCGTACAGTTCTTCGAATTGCTTACGTGTGTCATTTCTAGTTGTATAAAAAAACACATTACAGAATAATGACGTGTTGACATCATGCCTCGTGTATGCGTAATATTTGCTTTTAAGCAACACTCGCACAAGTATGAGTGCAGAAATCAGAGCAATATTGGCGGGTGCTGCGGATGTGGTCGCACTTGATCCATTTCGGGTGAAAGACAAGTAGACCGACAGACATACAGACACCACTTTTTTTGCATTGAAGCGTCCCAAAAAAGACTATCTTTTTTAATAATTGAGAATGAATTGAGTGTAGCGTTGGGTTGAACCCACTGCTAAGCACTAGGGCCACACGTTTCAGCTTTCACTGATTAACCATTTCTACGAAGGCATGAGCAGTTATTTTTTTCTCAAGCAAGACATGAGCTCTAGCCGTGAACACGCGAATTTATTGCGCAAGTGTGTGCCCCGCTCCACCACAGTGAGACATTCACCCGTAGATTCCATTGCTTTTCTGTAGCGCTTGCTGCAGTCCTACTATTGGTGCCCTCGTACTGAAAGCAGTAGCCAGGGTGGAGAAACTACTTTAGGGCATGTGGAAGCTGCACTGCTGTGACAACGAACCATCCCACAATAGCACGACGCGAAAGGCAAAGTGCGTAACTACAAGTATAGGACGAAACATTGACGACAGCGTTAACTCTGCAGGCATCGATGCATCTGAACTGTGACGTCGACGAGTCGTCCCCTATTGGCTCTATTTAGTGTCCTAACACAATACTCCACTTCATTACTCACCGGTGGCAACACTCCACAGCATCATGCATCAGAGATTGTGTGACAGATGTTTCTGGAGCATCGTACATGTTCACTGACCCATTTTAGCGGGCAAAAAGGTCGACAGTGTCGCTGAAGCCGACGTTTCAGCAAGTAGTCTTGTATCATTTAAGACAGCAAATATACAACTTATGGAATGGCACACCTGACTGAAGTATACATCCTTTTTGTCTATGTTGAAGGGGTATTGATACAAAAACTTTGACCTCGCGTTTATCTGCAGCAATGTGTTGCGGGGGGGGCCTGTTATTTATGACACGCCACATTGTTGCAGCACGTGAGATATAATTAATTACAGGCCCCTCATTATCGACCAGTTTTAGTTTCTATTTGAGAGAGCTCCAAAAACAAGGTGCAACTATCGCCACCTAGCGTGTGCAGCCCACAGCATATCTGTGGCACACTTCCGCATTTTCCGCATCTAGAATTGCTTTCGAACAGGCAACGGGACTGCAGGGTCGCCAAACACAAAACATTCAAAGCGTGCGCTACGGCCACGCACTCACAACTAGCCGCCGAGACGTCTAGGCAACAAGAACAAACGCGGCAAAAGACAAATCGTGGCTATGACGTCATCATAACTTGATTTATTCACTGCAGCGTGGTGACGTGCGGAAAGTTAGGTGTTCCCAAAGGGTCCCCTTCGAGTGTGTCAACAGCATGGTGGAGTCGAGTGCTCACGCAAACTTCAACATTAACTTAAAATACCTCCCGAGCTATATTCGCTGTTGATATTTTGCAGATGATATAGAAGTGTTTACGGGAATGGATCCCGCAAACCACAGCGAGTTCAAAAGCAAAATTAGTCATATGAGACAAGGTACAGCAAGCATGCGAATGAATTTTAATGCAAGGTAGGTGACTGATACGGATGTTTCTCTTATATCGACCAATCGAGAGCATATTTCATCCTGATATCACGCGAACAAACTGCTGGCGTCTGGAATTGAGGAGCAAAGATGGCGAACGCCGGAAGAGAATAATGCGCCCGTTACTGGTATTTTCAGGGGTTGTTCAGCGGCCCTCTCAGGAGCACCCTCATTAGCTGCGGGCCCTAAAATGCACATCAGTACGTGCAACTATCAGCGTGTACCTTGTGAGCAAGATAATGTACATCAGTAAACAATGCCTTGGAAGCATGCACCTCTCTTATGTACTTGAATTTCACCTGTTCGTCGCAACTTGCATTATTTGGTATACTATACTATTTAAGAGGTTTCGAATGTAATGGCAAACTGTGCTGCCTTGTGTTGAAAGAGGTGCTCACTCAATGTGAGGCTCCGATATGTCAACAGATCATATTACCTATTGGCTTCCTGTGCTAGACCATGGCGCTTATGTTTATTAATGGTGTCGATTAATGACATCGATTGCACAAACTTTTACAATTTAATTCAGTTTACTGTTTCATACATCAGGTAGTACACCAGCCAAACCAAGCGATGCTCGAAGGAACGACTTCGGCAACAACCTTGCTGATGTGCACTATATAACTGCGAAACACTGATTGATTGATACATGGGGTTTAGCGACCCAAAACCACCATATGATAATGAGAAACGGCGTAGTGGACAACTCCGGAAATTTTGACCACCTGGAGTTCATTAATGAGCACCCAAATCTGAGCACACGGGACTACAGCATTTTCGCCTCCATCGAAAATGCAGCCGCGCAGCCGGGATTTGATCCCACGACCTGCGGGTCAGCACCAGAGTACCTTAGCCACTACACCACCACGGAGGCGTGACTGCAAAACACTGGCTGTTAAATTATGACGAAGGCACGTTGAACCGAACTGAATTCAGACAACAACCGTCGACACTATGACACCGTACCCGTGAGACGTGATTACGACGGGCACCTTCACACCGGTGCGCATCGTGGCCACCCGGTCATTGATCTTATTCCTGGACACGATGTCGACGCCGGCGTATGGCTCGTCGAGGAAAATGACCCTGGGGTTTCCCAGCATGGCCAGGGCAATTGATAACTTCCGCTTGTTGCCTCCGCTGTTTCGAGAAATAGAACAAAAAAAAGAATGCAATGAGAACGTAAGAGAACTTCACCACTGGCTGATAGCTTGTAGCGCTGACAGGAACAGCATTTATTTGTTTCACTTCCAATTTTAAGACCCTGGCAATCAGTTGTGCGACTTTCTAAACCTAACGACTCTCGTTAACAATCCAGAGCGTAAGGCAGGCAATGTAACTATTCAAGAGTCAATATTATTGGATGGCTTAAATAAGGCATAACCTTCGATGAAAAATGCAGCGTCACTAGTGGTAGTGTAATACTACGTTAAACTGATGCGAATTTTTCACAATTGTAGCTCATATAAATTAAATAGGATTATAATATTTCGCAACCTTTACATATATTAGGTTCGGAACGCATCGTAGAGATCTAGTGAAATTACTCCGCAATCACGGCAAAGCCCGCATAAACATTAGCTTAGGGGTCCAAAGCGGCCTGCTAGACGGTGCCAGCAATACGCTAAGAGGAACTAGAGATTACCATGCACCAACCCGCTCTTCATATGGTCCAGAAATGCTGTGAATCAAACTGAAACCGTCGGCAGACACGAAGAGAAGCCGCGGGCAGCGCCCAAAGCGATTGGCCTCCACGACCCCAAACATAATTTTATGCTTCCTTCTACTTTTGTTTTCTGTGTGCCTTCGGCAATAACTAAGAACATTGATGAATACACGTAGGTCTTGGTGCAGACATTTGCCTGGCAGGAACTTTTATGTGCGCAAGAGCAATAATTATGCCTTGAGCAGTATGATTTATTCATGGTAATTAAGAGATTTTTCATTCTCGTGCGTCAAGCAGGATCGATAAGGTGAGGACACAAGAATAAGCGAGAAAGGCGCAAAACAATATCTTCTAGCAATATTTATTTTTTTTTATTTCGACCAATCGAGAGCATATTTCATCCTGATATCACGCGAACAAACTGCTGGCGTCTGGAATTGAGGAGCAAAGATGGCGAACGCCGGAAGAGAATAATGCGCCCGTTACTGGTATTTCAGGGGTTGTTCAGCGGCCCTCTCAGGAGCACCCTCATTAGCTGCGGGCCCTAAAATGCACATCAGTACGTGCAACTATCAGCGTGTACCTTGTGAGCAAGATAATGTACATCAGTAAACAATGCCTTGGAAGCATGCACCTCTCTTATGTACTTGAATTTCACCTGTTCGTCGCAACTTGCATTATTTGGTATACTATACTATTTAAGAGGTTTCGAATGTAATGGCAAACTGTGCTGCCTTGTGTTGAAAGAGGTGCTCACTCAATGTGAGGCTCCGATATGTCAACAGATCATATTACCTATTGGCTTCCTGTGCTAGACCATGGCGCTTATGTTATTAATGGTGTCGATTAATGACATCGATTGCACAAACTTTTACAATTTAATTCAGTTTACTGTTTCATACATCAGGTAGTACACCAGCCAAACCAAGCGATGCTCGAAGGAACGACTTCGGCAACAACCTTGCTGATGTGCACTATATAACTGCGAAACACTGATTGATTGATACATGGGGTTTAGCGACCAAAACCACCATATGATAATGAGAAACGGCGTAGTGGACAACTCCGGAAATTTTGACCACCTGGAGTTCATTAATGAGCACCCAAATCTGAGCACACGGGACTACAGCATTTTCGCCTCCATCGAAAATGCAGCCGCGCAGCCGGGATTTGATCCCACGACCTGCGGGTCAGCACCAGAGTACCTTAGCCACTACACCACCACGGAGGCGTGACTGCAAAACACTGGCTGTTAAATTATGACGAAGGCACGTTGAACCGAACTGAATTCAGACAACAACCGTCGACACTATGTCACCGTACCCGTGAGACGTGATCACGACGGGCACCTTCACCCCGGTGCGCATCGTGGCCACCCGGTCATTGATCTTATTCCTGGACACGATGTCGACGCCGGCGTATGGCTCGTCGAGGAAAATGACCCTGGGGTTTCCCAGCATGGCCAGGGCAATTGATAACTTCCGCTTGTTGCCTCCGCTGTTTCGAGAAATAGAACAAAAAAAAGAATGCAATGAGAACGTAAGAGAACTTCACCACTGGCTGATAGCTTGTAGCGCTGACAGGAACAGCATTTATTTGGTTTACTTCCAATTTTAAGACCCTGGCAATCAGTTGTGCGACTTTCTAAACCTAACGACTCTCGTTAACAATCCAGAGCGTAAGGCAGGCAATGTAACTATTCAAGAGTCAATATTACCTTGGATGGCTTAAATAAGGCATAACCTTCGATGAAAAATGCAGCGTCACTAGTGGTAGTGTAATACTACGTTAAACTGATGCGAATTTTTCACAATTGTAGCTCATATAAATTAAATAGGATTATAATATTTCGCAACCTTTACATATATTAGGTTCGGAACGCATCGTAGAGATCTAGTGAAATTACTCCGCAATCACGGCAAAGCCCGCATAAACATTAGCTTAGGGGTCCAAAGCGGCCTGCTAGACGGTGCCAGCAATACGCTAAGAGGAACTAGAGATTACCATGCACCAACCAGCTCTTCATATGGTCCAGAAATGCTGTGAATCAAACTGAAACCGTCGGCAGACACGAAGAGAAGCCGCGGGCAGCGCCCAAAGCGATTGGCCTCCACGACCCCAAACATAATTTTATGCTTCCTTCTACTTTTGTTTTCTGTGTGCCTTCGGCAATAACTAAGAACATTGATGAATACACGTAGGTCTTGGTGCAGACATTTGCCTGGCAGGAACTTTTATGTGCGCAAGAGCAATAATTATGCCTTGAGCAGTATGATTTATTCATGGTAATTAAGAGATTTTTCATTCTCGTGCGTCAAGCAGGATCGATAAGGTGAGGACACAAGAATAAGCGAGAAAGGCGCAAAACAATATCTTCTAGCAATATTTATTTTTTTTTATTTCGCCTTACTTAAAGCGCTAGCGAAGAACACCGTGGTTTAAATTCTGTGATGAAACCATAAATGCGCATTTGTAGGATGTCAACTTGAAGTCGCAAGAAGTGTACTTAGAAATTGTTCTAATTAGGAAGTTTCAGGGTATAAAGTCAGCCGCTTTAGATAGCTTCGGTTTCTCGCTTCTCGTGTCTGTCCCAAACTGTTCAGCATAACATCTCCACTGAGCGCGTAATCACACATCGGTTCAGCGGAGATCCCCGGGGTGGCGTAAGGGGCAGGGAAGAGAAATAGATGACTACCCGTTTCAAGTTAGACGCCACAAGAAAATGCATGGGAATTGTCAGGAAGGAAGCCTCTTAGTTGCCGAAAAGCACCTTATAGCTGCCAACTGCTAGCTTCCTCAGTAAAGCGATTACCCCGGAAAGGCATGGGTCCTGGTTTCTATCCCCAGACCAGAACTAAGAGGCTTTCTATAGAAGAAACCTACGTGAATTTTTTGTGGTTTGATGCTATGAAAGACCGATTGTAAATTTGCCTTTGTCATTGAAAGAAATCTCCTGAAATACTTTAATTTCTGAATCTATATAATGAGGACACAGTGGAGATGTTTTACCTGTACATATCTGTTTTCTCTGCTTTATTTGGAGCACGTACATGTTTTCGTGAGCATCACGTAAAGTACCTGTAAGTGCCGCACGGTTTGTCCGCATGTTGCTCCACGTCAACGAACTGAACGGCCGCATGAACTGCTGTCTCGACAACGTTATCGGGGACGCCTCGAAGCCCAGCGAAGAGTCGCAGGTGCTCGAACGCAGTGAGCTTTTCCAAGAGTCCATTGTACTGTGGGCAGTAGCCGATGTAGGACTGCCACTACGCAAGGAGAGTGACAGAAACAAATCGCACATTATTTGACAGTCCTAGCTCGTGTGCAAAATTTTTGGCGTTCAAGTAGTATTCTCTTTGTAGGGAATGTAAATTTGAGCGCTTGTTGAAAGAATACACATGTAAGAGACAAGCAAGAACAGTCTGACCATAGCAACTGCTGGCTACTGACTGCCCATCTTTCAGCATTTTTGACTCGCTACTACTACTTGATCAGTTTCTACCTATTTGCATGAAAACTCAGAGTCTCGGAAATATGCAAACCTAGCTCGCTTTTTCTTTCAGTATACTACTAAATTTACAGCCACTGTGTGACTGTCTTATAATTCTCCCATTCACCCTCAGAGATTAAATTCATCGTGCTTTCACACCATATAATTATGCTTTAATCACTTACGCTAAGGCACTAGTCGGATGTGCTATGTGCAGTAATCTAAGCTGCTAGCATTAGCTTTATTTGTTTATTGACTTAATTATTTATTTATTTTTTATTTATTTATTTATCCAGTTGTATATTCACATACCCATAGTTTTAACCATGAACTGTGATGTAGTGAGATTTTTTTACGCAATGGAGAAAAACAGCAGTGCTTTACAACAGTTACACTAAATAAGAAAGATACAAAGAAACAAAAAGAATAATGCGCACTAGTTGACTGGTGCAAACTGTAGTAACTAAAGTGAAGGAAAGAAAACATAAATATATTAAAAGGTCGCCGTAATTTTGCAGCATAAGGTACAGAAATCATTGAAAAATTATCAATATTATTGTTTCCATGTGAACATATCAATATTACTACACTCAGAATATAAGGCTATTAGGAACTCAATATCAGCAAAATATCCAATGAAATAATATGTTGATGCACATACAACTGAATGCAAAACAGCAGAAAGGCATGCACACCACGCGCATGCATATCATACAAAGCAACATCTGGCTACTGCTTCGTTAAATTGTTTTCTTTCGCTTTTTTTTTCAGTGTAATGTCTGTCTGCGTATTCAATTTTGTGCTCCCTAATGTACTGTTTCGAGATGTTGAGCACAGACTGCAATTTCTTTGTTACTAAATTATAGCTGACAATGTAGTTGAAGTAACACAGCGCGTCATCTCTTGGAGATGACGCTCAGGGTTTCACTGTTTGCTAGTATTTCAGAATTCGTAGTTCATTACCATGGCATTCTTGCATGGTTTCAGAAGCTGCCTATCACACGTTAATTATTATGTCCGATTTAGCTCCACCAGCCATCACTTGTTCATTGAAGCGGTAATGACAAAATTTTCCTGCTGCGACGGCCTGCAGGATCGATTATACAGCTTGGAGGGCAGTTTATATGACTTTTGAAGTTCGTGTTCCCGATTCCGCACCACGCCGCGCCTCGCGACAATGGCTTCATAAGAAGCGACCAGAAGGTGACACCAAACTTCCGCCGCATCACCACTGCGGTCGAGCTGCAAGAGGCCCAATAAATCATGACGCCATTGTCGCCACTGTTCTTTTGCCGCGCTTGCACTAGCAAGCTACTGTTTGGCAGCTGCCCGCCAGTCCATGCCACTGCGAACGTATCGAAGCATCAAGAAGGTCTTTGGGACTAGGTTAATGATGATAACCATGGCAACTACATCTCACTGCACATGCCGCATGCGAATGAACGTGAGTATAGAGAACGCAGGCAGCGCGAAAGTGCGTCGCCGTTCTGTGCCGTTTCAGAGGCTAGAAGGCATTGGTGGCATATGGTGGGCCTTCGTTCTCGGAGTTCTCCCAAAGGGAAACTGAGACTGGTCGGCAATAAAGAGATTGTAATTATTTTTGGCATGCTGCAACAAGCCACCGATCGCACCAAAACATATGTATCAGCACCCCGTTACATTTCATTACTATATGAATACACTACGTTGGTTCCTGCATGCTGTCGGCGTTTATGTTCCACTTAAAATCCACATCAAAAATATTATCTCCCCTCCCCCCCCCCCCTTCCGCGTCATATTTTGCATGCACAAGTGAAAGCGTGCGAATACTAACAACAGTACTGAAAGTTGGGCGAGTTGGTACTCATTCATGACTTCTTTGCGCAAACACGTACACGGACACAAGAAAAAGAGGCAAACAACACGGGCGCAAACTCACAACTGGTTTATTTTGAACAACGAACTGTACTTATATCTTCACGTAGCCCACACGCCCCCCATCGGTGGATCCAGGAACAAACGAGATAACCCAAAGCAAGCTTATTCAGCGCTACGTCATGATAAGAACCACGAAAAACACCAAAAAATTGAAGAGTTCACGCATCTGCAGACGGATTGTAGCACGTGCCTTTCAAAAAGTGAAATTCTTTATCGGACAAGGTGACGGAAGCTTGGCTAACACATTTTTCTCCCAAGTTTCTAATATGGAAAGCTTCAATCAACTCCCTGTTAATTTTTCTCTTGTGAGTTGACAAAATCTTTGTGTCTGTAAATTTCTAATGTGGAAAGCTTCAATCAACTCCCTGTTAATTTTTCTCTTGTGAGTTGACAAAATCTTTGTGTCTGTAAAATCTTTGTGTCTTTGTGTCTGTGGGCTACGTGAAGATATAAGTACAGTTCGTTGTTCAAAATAAACCAGTTGTGAGTTTGCGCCCGTGTTGTTTGCCTCTTTTTCTTGTGTCCGTGTACGTGTTTGCGCAAAGAAGTCATGAGTGCGAATACTGCCTATGAGCGCGAACGAAGCAAACACAAAGTTGGCCGGTCATCTCCATGGCACAACGGGTGCATGCAATAACATTGCCCCATGTGCGAGGGCTACCGTTGATGGGCCATTAAGCAGAGCAGAAAAGTCCCGTGCATCTTTCAACGCGCAAACGACTCTTTGTAGTAGAAGCCGAAGAGGGGCGGGGATTTGCGTGTTTTTTGGCGCAAATGCGTGCTCAGGGAATGGACACACCCACAGTTTTGCGCATTCAACATTTTTAGAGAAATTCAGCGGACGCCTCTTTCATTTATAGGTGTCATGCTTTCATCGCAAACTATGTGTTGAAGCCATATAGACAGAACGAAGGTAACTTCGATCGCTGAAGCAGCTGCTTTCGCTTCCAGCAAATTGCCTAGTTACGCCAAGTCAGGCGCTCTAGATGTGAGCTACAAGCCTTAGTTCGCATAACTTTCCTGTTTTCTACTACCAGAATAGTTGATTACTCCTTACGGTGAAACGACAACTTATCTCTTTAGATTGTTTGCTAACTAGGTTTTTCTTTTCGTATTTGGAGTACCTGTCCGTTTTGAAAGGGTAAATAAGGCTGTAACAATTGAGAAATATTAAGTTCACTAAAGGTTCTTAATCTTTATATGTGTCTGATGTCACCCACGAAGCACAATCTAGTAGAAAATTTGTCGATACTGATATTATATTGCCACCGTTCTTCTACTAGTGTCTTGCCGTTACTACTGTAGTACCGTTACTCTATTGGAATATTAACCAACACACGATGGCGCGTGTTTGAGAGCACATTTGTTCGAGCCACTTCACTTGATAGAACTGCTGCCCACACCATACACTCACTCCGTCTAACTTTCGTCGCCACAAAGTATCTTCGCATTAGTCATCATCCAAATAAATTTCCTTACCTTCATTCCCAATGACGTAATTTTTCATACAAAAACCAAAAAAAGTTGACCATATCACTTGGAAATTATTGTTTACCCTAGGCAAGACGCACGCTCTGCAAGTTGAGTCAAATTATAATGAGAAATCCCGGACGAAGGACTGTCGCTTGAAACAACATTTAGATGAGGGGCCTTGCCGAAACCAGACAAGACGACAAGTCGCTTCATTAGCACGTCGACTCCTACGAGATCACTTGTGAAACAGTGGTATTTTTATAAGCTAGCGCTTCACGTTTCGTTCGACAGAACAATCGAAAAAAGAGTCCCTACCTTCCTAAGCGAACTCGTCAGCTTGACGTCGCTCATGTAAGCCTCGCCCGCGCTGAGGTGGAGGAGACCAGTGAGCATTTGGAAAGTGGTGCTCTTTCCAGCACCGTTCACACCGAGGAGCCCAAAACACTCGCCCCGACGGATGGCCACGCTGGTTCCCTTGACGGCCTGGAAGGAGCCGAACCACTTGCGAAGATCGTGTGCCACCAGCGTGTAGCCCAGTCGCTCCAGCTCGGGCGACGCGCCGGTCTTCGCCAGACGCTCGACAAGCTCCCTCTCAGTCTTCACGTCTTCGTCCAAGGCATTCTCGCTTCCACGGGGTGGGGCTCCATGGACTGAAAGCACAAATCGAGAAAAAGCGAAAGACTGCAAGCCACTGTAAGTGCATGAAATCTGCCTCAGTGTGTCCTCCTTTTCGCACAGGAATGTGCTCTTTAGAATACATGAATGATCCCTGGGTCATCGGTGGAGCCAACCTTTCGACAAGCAGACTTGTGTTGGCCAAAACAACAACTGCACTTGCAATCGCCAGTGCACGTTAAACAGCAGATAATCTATATTTGTGGAACCCTACTCTACGAGTCTGATAATCATATCGTCTTTCTGGTACATAAAACCTCTATTATTACTATAATTATTATTATTATATTATTATTAAAAACAAGAAGAGAAAGAAGAAAAGGGATCGTACTTGCCAGAACCACGATATGATTATCAGGCATGTCATAGTGGAGGGTTCCGGAATCACAGATTATCTTATGTTCTTTAACCTGCACTGCCCTGCAAATGCAGTTGCTCCCTAGACAGGGGCCTTAGCCTTGTACCGTGTTCGTGAATTTTGAATTTGTAAGATCATGAAGAAAGGCAACTCGTGCAAACACCGACACAAGGGAGCACACACACCGACGATTGACTGAAATGGCGCACCTCAGCGGAACAGGGAGTTGACGCAATAATTATCTGCAGATACGCACAAAGCCCTTAAATAAAATAAAAGAAGCGCAAACTCCTCATGCCTCTTCATGCACCACCGTTAGGTCTCTCTCCTGTAGACCGTCACTCTTCCTCGGCTGGGGCCGAGCTTGCAGATGCTCTCCGCTAAACGCGGTCACCGAAACTCACTCACGCCGGTCATCTGGTATTTCAACCAGAATTATTCACGTTATGGTAACACTGGCTGCCAGAACATTGTAAGGGGCAAGGAGGTTATACTAAAACTTCTGGAGTGGCGGTCCCGCATAGCCGCCAATGTATCGAAGTGAAGCCGCGGCGGCCATGTTGCTCAGGGCAGAAGGCGGTGGCGGCTGCCTTGTAGCGCCGTAAAGCTGTGGTCGCTGGCTGCCGTGCGTTTCGTTATAGCTACTAAAGCACCGGTTTGTTATTCTTAGGCAGCGAGGGAATGTGGGAGTGACTCTAATGCATATATGCTTTAATTTTTCTTTGACACTTAGCGTTTTAGGCGTGTTTGAAAAAGAAAAAAAAAATCCAGGCATGCACGGAACGCGCAGCACAGTCGCACCTAAAGCTAGAAAAGCGGTCTTTCAGAGCATTTTCTAAACACTCCTTGGGATGCTACAAGCACACTGCTGTGTACCCACAGCGCCTTAAATATTAATACACTTTGTGTAGTAGGCCAGCATTCACTATGCTATCTTTCGTCGTTCTTTGGAGAAGCGTACGCGGTATCCGCTACACACTTGTGGGAAAGTTTGTGCAGATTTTTTTAAGCAGTGGCTGATGACGATGAAGAAATATGCGTGAAGTGGGCATGCGGCACAGTTAAAGGGTGGTAAAGAACAAGTTTTCTAATGAGTTGGAGCATTAGACGACCCAGTCGTTGACCAATTCGTATTGTGTGACACCTGGCTGTCGCTTCGACGTTATAAAACGCTTTCTTATTCCTTTCCCGACATCAAGTCTGCCTATGGCCAGTTTAGAAACAAGTAACAAGCACTGGCGTGGCTCAGTGATAGAATACTGGACAGGCACGCAGAGGACCTGGGTTGGAATTCCATTGTGTTGTTGGTGTTCTTTATTTACCGAGGTTTTTTTTTTTGTTCTGTACTGGTTAGGGGCGGCGGCGGACAACTACGGCGTCGCAAGTGACCTGTGTTCTGACCTCATAACTGTCGATGTGAAAAAAAAATTGTACTGAAGGATATTGATTAGCAATATATGTGTACACAGTTGCCTCACAGCAGAAGTGACCAGTTAGCAGATGCAAGGAAAGTATAAGTTTCACTCGCACGCAACCATAATCCCTTGGCGAACAACAGTGCAGCGTGTGTGCGAACTCTGTTTATTAGGAGAGGGAGTGTCTTTCACCTTTTCACGTACTCGTTTGTGAAGCTCCTGGATATACAGGAAAAACAATGCTTGGAAAACTTGCAATCGTTCCTCTGATTATACGTTCTGCTCCATTATCTGGTCAATGAAATTCCGAGAACATCAATGCATTTTGAAAGACCCCATTGGTACTGCTGCGTACGATGTCGTACCCTTCTTTTTGAGCTGTTAATTGTACCTTGTTCGTGAATTTTTTTTCAATTTTTGTTTCATTTTTTTGTTTTTTGCCTGTACCAATCTCTTGTGGGTGAAGTTGAGGGGTGGCGGGATTTTGACAGCTCCGTCAATTAGAGGAGCTTTAGGCGAAAGTGTACTTCCCTGAATTTTCAATGGAGCTCGTTTCCTTTTTCTCTTGCATAAAGAGAAGCATATCGCAACATATCAGAAATTTTGAGGCTGGAAGCGTAGTACTAATGCAAATATAAGAAGCTCCAAATCCCAGAAATGCAGAGCCGGTGCTACATTAGCTACCTTTCGAGAGCGAAGCGCTCACTTCTGTAAGGCACACTCGCGTACTGGCTTTCGTAAGTGCGCATGGAAACGATGCAAACACGCTAGTAATTTTATAAGCCCGCCGTCTCGCTATTTACCTTGTCTCATCGAAGCAGCATGCTTCAACATGTGTACTAAACATCATTCGTCATTATTTGTTTTTTTTTTTTTGGCGCTTAACCTTTTCCCCTCATAGCACACTCTCATGTGCCGCGCATTACGACGTCTTCGGAACCCTGAAACGTACAAACAATTTATTCCAAGTATCTCTGTGGACCCGGACGTAAAAAGTAAGTATATGTAGTCACGAATGCAGTCGTTGTCATGAAAATATGCGAGCAAAAGTGAGCGGGCGAATTGTGCCTACGTGCACATCAAAAGTTGTACCCGGTGTCCACTTCGCATGATTCGCGCTGCCAAATGCTACCCAAGAGTCCACCATCGTCGTTTTTTAAAGTCATCACTGACGTGTTCAAAACCATCATGTTCAATTAGAGGCATCACACGCAACATTACTGGCACTAGAACAACGCGAAAGCCACGTACGCTACAATGCGCTCATCCGCTTTCTGCCCTGGGCAATATGGCGGCGGTAAGCTTCAGCCACGGAGCCCCTCCGCCACTCCAGAAGTTTTAGTATAACCTCCTTGGTAAGGGGTCATCGAAAGCGCTGTTGCACTGTGTTGGCTTTGCAACTGGCTGCTGGCTGCGAGACATTGTCAATACGACACTCGAGACCTCAGCATTGGCTGACTGACCGAACCTCGACGCTTCATTTCGTCGACCAGCATGCAGGCAACGCCCGCAGCTGGAATTTATAGTTCTCCTGCAATGACTGATGACTGGTCCTAGTGTCTAGGTTGTGTCGCATGTTTCACTGATTGATGTGCTACCAATCAATCGGTGGAAGCAACTCGTCGACGAGGACTAAGCTGCCGCAGCTATGCTCACAGGTGCGTTAAGCCAAACCCCACGTATGTGTTACAATGTGTCAGCGTGTGGCACCACGCCCTCTTGTATGGAGGAAGGGGACGCACGGCTATCCCTAGCTGCGCGCTTTGTTTCTACATAGAGAGTGGAGCAGACATACACGCCACCTGCTGACGTATTGCAACGTGCATGTGTGGTTATGCCTTCACATGGTTCCACACACTGCTTTCTTGTGAACCTAATTCAGAATCACAGCAAGTATTCTCGCAGGTCTACGCGAGGTTAGCTTGTCTATCACCTCTTGCATACGATACATTGGCGGTGGGTGTGAGCTAAATTTTGTGAAAGCATATAGTTGAAGGGACACTAATAAGCAACAATATCTTGATTTAAATTGATGAACTGAGCTTTGAGAACTTCATTGCCACAAGTTTCACTATCATAACTTTATTAGTACACTTGCCAGCTCGATCCTAGCAGTGCAATGGGCACTCCGGAGTCAAGTTAGGCGAGCGGTGCAAGCCAGCGAGCCCCTGGACTTGGGTCCCAACCAACATGCTTTTGAGTACGCCTATTTCTATCCCTTCCCTAAAAAAAGTTTTGTTGTTCTTATTGTTCTTATAGGGGGAAAATGACGGTTGAAGTTTCACTTTTACATTTCGCGCCAATGTCTCCACGTGCGACGTCAAAATTTTAAAGATGCATTCTTCGTATTTTTGCTCAATAGACTCAACTAAACTTTTCGAAACTTCGGATCCTAGGTTCATGGCACCCACAGACGACATTGTGCGTCATTTTTATCGATTAGGAGCTACGTAGGAAAAAGTAGACGCAGAATCTCAAGGTGGCGTCTCAGCCCATCTTTTCTTTTCGCGAAATTTATTTTGTTTTTCTATTTAGTGTCTTTTTAAAACAAAAGAGGCAATAATAGGAGTTTAGAATAGCTAGCAATATTTCCATATGATTCTAAAGCGCACAATACCGGAGCCCTCCGGAAATTGCGACCATTTGTGGGCTTTTTTCGGAGTGCAGCTGATGTACGCGGGTTTCAAGATGTGTGCCTCAGTCGAAATGCAGAGAGACGCCACAGTGGACGCTTTAAGGACGTATCCCGGAAGCTTCTCAAAATGCGGCAAAGTCACTTGCCGTCTGCGACGTGTATCGCACTCGAAAGGCACAGCAACACAGCACCGCAAACACAAAACCACTAAAACCACGCCGAAAATCGTAAAAAGGAAAGCAAGACAAAATGAAGAGAAACAAAGAAGGCTGTCACCACTCATTAGAAGCTGTTAAAAGGGCGCCTAAAACACCCAGATGTTGAAATTGTGCACGTGCGTACAACAACACAGTGTCGTGAAAATTTTCGGAAGCAGTTTCGTAACAGCGGAGTTAGACGAGTTTGAATGCCCAACGCGGTGACCACTCCTTTAGCTCTTTTCTTTGCTACCCTCGGCTGCCGTCCTCTCCCAAGGCCACTTTGCCCTCTCGCCAAGTGCCCGGCCCTTCCAATTTTCAGTGGCACGCAGGTGCACGTGTGGTCTGTGCGTGGCCAGGAGAACGTATGCGGCAGGGAGGCGGAGCACGCGCGCAACACGATGAATAGCAGTGTAAGAGAGCGGACTAACCGCAAGTCGTAGATTCTTGCTCGACCAATCGCAGCATGATTTGCGCTACACGTCAGAGATTCAAGTTCTCGACGTCACATATAGGCTGCAAAGGCCCGGAGAGGGGCACATAAATTTTCATGAAATTTGTGATGCACCGGTGGCTCATAGCGCTGTCACATGGCTGCGTTGATCGCGAATGCATTGAGCACACGCTGCGTTCACTTGAAATGTTTGAAGAAATGTCGGAGGTGGTTTAGGGGCTCTTACATTTTTTATCCAAGTTCTAACACGGTTGAGGCTCAGTGGCAGAACACTTGCTCCTCACGCAAGAGTCATCGATTTGATTACCAACGAAACTAAACATTAGGATTGCGTATATATCGAATGTTCCCCCACGGTTAGCGCTGATATTTCGCTCCCAACCAACGATGCCAGCGCTCACTCGGCAATTTCTACAAACGCTTTTAGGAGCGCTAACGCGTTAATGGCGGTTGCAAATGCGTGAATCAGCGTTCCATTAACTTTAGATGAAGAAACACTGAAGTACCTAAACATTTATCTTACGAAAAACCACGCCTGTGCCAGATTAGCATAACCAGTAGCACTTCAATACCTCCACATGCTAAGACAAGTTATTTGTCTACTGTCTTTCTCGCCGCTGTTCGTCATTGTGCTTAATTCTTGGCGTTTGTCTCATGGACGCCTTACCACATGTTATGTGAAATCCTGCAGAATAGCTAGGTCAGCTTTCTTCGGAAAAATAATAGACAGGCAAAGCTAGAATATTATGCCTGGTTCTTCACACATTTTCCACATACACTACAGCTGGAAGTGCGAACCTGCATCGATGATCTTGCGAAGACTCAAGCCGTATCCCGAGTACACAAGGCTGAGGATGACGAAGAGTACCAGGCCTTCGACCACGAGGAGCAAGATGTCCGGCAACACGCTGTGCTCGGACATGGAGAAAAAGCTGACGCTGCACGGGTCCTCTTCCTCGTAGTTGATTTTCTTGTCAAAGCCAACTGCCATACACGAGAAACAAAGCACGGAGCATGGCTAAAACAATCGCTTTGTCTGATATGCACGTATACACCTTTTACAGGAGGGAAAAAAACACCGCCATGATGGGCTGCGCGCGGGAGTACAAAGGCCAAAAGCGCAGCATTCATTGTCAGTGCATTTTCGAGGGGTCACACAAATTCGCGCAGCCCAAAGAGCACTATGGCGGCGCCCAGGGAGGCGTTTTTGAAAAGGTCTATATGCATTTTTTATTTCTATTCAGTGACAAGAAACAGGAATATTGGCCCTGTGGTACATGAACGTATACAGAAGTTTTGAAGGGGGGGGGGTTCAACCATACCTTATGAATGTTCATGCATGCGCGCGTTTCCCTGTGTACGTATATATGTGTGCGTGTTTGTATGTGTGCCTATATGTGTGCGTGTATATATACGCAAAATTTATATCCCCCCCCCCCCCGGGTTACGCGCACGCCCTGGAAGTTGAGCTTCTGCAAAGCAGTCTGCAAGAAACCCGCTATGCCGCATTGTTTAACTTTCAAACGTGGAAAAATTATAATGCCCAAGGTTTTTGGACGTCAAACCACGATGTTACTAAGAGGCGCGAAATAGTAAAGGCCTTCAAAACCTACGGCCTCTTAAGATGCTTTGTAAGCACACAGGAACGTAGTATTTTAGCCTCCACGAAAAATCGACTTCCGCAGCCGCACATTTCATTGAAACCAACATTTTCTCCAACTCAACCTCTCATCGTGAAGGCAGCAACTGGCTTTCTTAAAAAAAAAAACTTGCACGCTTTGCTCACCTTCCCTCAACCACCAAATATAGCAGCAGAAGACAGTAGGTTGCGAAGAGCAATGGTAAAAGAGGTGCGAAGAGAGGACATCAGGAAGCTGTTGGAATAGGTTGGCATGCGAAATGCGTTGAGTAGGGGTTGGGGATAAATAAATAAAAAACGAGTCGTAGTGGTAAAGGGGTGTGGGGAAGGGCTACCTGGGCTGTATACGGGCTCCCTTCTCGTCTGCAGGGTGGCGGGGAAGGCATTGCGCTGCATCGTGAATCACCTGGGGCTCATGCAAACTGCACCTTCACACAAATTTAAAAATAAATACGGGTAAAAGACAATACACGTCAGCGGCAACCGAACATGATTTCATGGTCAAGAGAGGGTGATAAACGCGTTGTAAAACTCACGAAAAGATCCGGCACTTTTGTAAACTGAAGACATTAGTTACATCAAATGTAGATGAATTTACCGCCATGATGGCAGCGTTTGTCAGCGTGATCAAAAGAGCCACCATCGGTGGTACAGCCCTCGTGACTGCATTGTGTATGCAAGAGATTGGAGTGGATGTAAATCATCGTCCTCCTGAAATTGCATCAAGCGCCACGACGCTCGATAATATTAATAAAACACAATTAAAACCTCGAACTAGAGATGCTGCCGTTAGGCTGAGTTAGTGAGGTGTATTGCTGAGTGAGTTGGTTCATAGTAATCGGAACTATGCAACTGGGGAAAAACCACACGAAGGCAGCGAACAATTAGCACAGAGGACTAGCGCTTGTCCTGTGAGGTTGTTCTTCGCCATCTTCGTGTGGTTTTCCGGTCGTTGCATCTTCGGATCAAGCTCAGTTAGCGCAATGTCGCGAAAACGAGCGCCGAATCTTCGTTTTCAATCAACGCTTGATTGCTCTCAACGGGTGCACTCCGAGAGAGTGTGCGACTTGCTATTCCATTCGCTAAGCAGGAAGCAACTTTTTTCAAGTATGTACAGTCTCAACGGGGGTGGAAATGGCATGAGGGACCAGTAACCGGAATGGCAAGATTGCTACACGCGCCGATGGTTTTTTTTTTCTTTTTTTTTTGAGGATGTCAATATGTCAAGCACATTCCTATTTTCAAAGCAGGGGTGGCGGGCAAAAAGCACTCAAAACAAATGGCGTTTTCGAGGCAACTACGCTTTCGCGACTCCAGCGTAAAACGAAAGTCAAGGCAGCATGGAACTAGCGATGCCAAGCCTGAAAGAAATACGGAGCTGGGCACCCGTTCTCGATTCTCTCCAGTTTCGTTTCTTTCCTCCTCTCTTTTTGTGCTCTTTTTTCAAGTCTTTTTGTTTTACTTATGAATTATATTTTTGCAAGTATTATTTTTTATATTTTTATTTCTCGATTGGTTCCTCTTTTATACGTTATTTGTGTTGTCGTGTTTCCCTATATCCAAAGTACTAATGTCCGCACAGTATATCCCCGTCAAAGCACTCGAAGAAAAAGAGTAAAAAGATTTCTTTTTGGCGCGAGTGCATGTACAATGTGTCACAGTTGGCTATGCTGTATACAGTTTTGGAGGCTCTCATAATATAATCATCGCACTCAACGAACAATAGGAAAAACACTTGCGTTAAAATTATCCCCAACGTGGCGGAGAAGAAAAAGAAAAGTTTTTTTCGACGCGAGCGCGCTCAATGTGCTATACCTGGCGTCGCTATATCTGGTTCTGGCTGCGTTACGCCAAGCCACGACGGCGGCCTGTCCGCCTAAAGTGTTCGGTATCTAGGAAAACGAAAAGTAAATGATGTGCGTAGCCATAGCTTCTGATAAGCAATGAACAAGCATTGAAGATATGGGCTCTCGGATGGACCCACACAAGGATGGGCTGCTTCGGGCCGGCCCGTTTCGTTGAAAAATAGAATACGCTTGGCAACATTGCTATTGGCATGCTAGTGAAAAATTCACAGTAAATCCACGAGGAAAATGATGGCGAATTGAGCGAAGCGGACGGACGGACGGATGGTTGAACACACAGACAGATGCATAAACGGACGCACGGAAGCACGAACGGACTGATGAACGCTTCACACCACTCATCATCATTCACTCCGTGGATATGCTGTGACACCGTTTTTATTAACATACAATGCAATGTGCAATTGGCTACTACGACTACGACGACACGGGACATACGACCCAAGGCGTAACAGAGCCACGTGTCGCAATATCCGGGCTCCACTTACCGGTAACTTGTGCTTTTTTTTTCTTTGAGCATACGTACACAATGAACAGTGGCAGATTAAAATGAACAGAACGAATGGCACATGCACACATTATTTACATATAGTTAGTTCATAATAACGTCACTTAGCAAGGTAGAGGGAGTAGTAGATGACACGAACACAGCCTCGTCACGTGCACCTCGTCTAGGCGCTATGATCCTAAAAGAAATTAGTGCCGGTGAAAGGTGCTGGCATTAATCATATCTAATTATATCTTAGTGCCTGTAGCCAAATGGTACCGTGGGTTGTTGCCGCATTTTTTTTTTTGTTGCTGCAGCGCTTCGCACGAGGTCACCACGTCCCGAGCCACTCAAGGCTTCTAGTCCGATCATGATGGCGTCATCCTCCAGGCGAGTTAATCGACATGCACAGTTGCCCGGCATGGTCCAGCTCACCCCGAAGAAATGTCTCGCCTCGTGCTGCAAGGCGTAGGTTTTGCTTAGCCGGCGCAGAGACCCGTGCACGGCTCTTTTTATCGCTATGTATGGCGCAGAAGTAGCCGATTTTTCCCTCCATGACAGCTGTAATGGCAGCCTGGGCCAGAGCAAACGGCGGCGACAGGAGCATGAAGGCCGCGCGTACCAGACGAGGATACGGCACCTCCACGAGCGACAACATATACAACACCCACGTCACTGGTCCTGCATCAAGAAGAAATTGGTATTAAATGTGAAGCATTTCTAGGCAAACTTCGGCGACTGTGAGCGTATCTATCTATCTATCTATCTATCTATCTATCTATCTATCTATCTATCTATCTATCTATCTATCTATCTATCTATCTAGCCGCCTACGACTTTCAGCTTTCCTGGCCGTTTCGATAATGGCATCGATACCAAACTTGGTATGGCCCAACATGACTGTGTGAAGAACACATTAGACGAGTCATAACATGCCAATCATGACATGTATTCCATGAATATCATGATTTACATTTCATGGTCCTGCAGCTCTTGCGGTGGTTTCGTTCACATGGCATGCTGCAAAACTCGTATCGTGTGACATGATTGCATGGCAAACACAAGTGACTGAGGCTAACATGAAAATCATGACATGCGTGTCATGTAACAACATGACTACATGCCATGCTCATGATGCACTCGTGGCCGTTTCGCTACCGGCACATATACCAAATTTGATATTATGGTACGTGAATGGATGACGAAGGTATGATACTGCTACAAACATGATAAGGATGAGATGCGTGTCATGTAACAACATGACTACGTGCTACTCCAATGATGCGCTCACAGCCATTTCACTAGCTTCATATGTACCAACCTCGGTATTACGCGACACGAACGGACGACATAGGTAAATGACACATCCAAACCTGATCATCTCGACCTGCGTTTTATGTAACAACATGACTACACGCCACACTCATGACGCACTCACGGCCGTTTCGCTACCTTCACATATGCCAAATTTGGTATTACGTGACGCCAATGAATGACGAAGGTATGTGACTAATGCAAACGAAATAATCATGAGATGCGTGACATGTGAGAACATGACTACATGCCACAGCCAAAGCACCAATACATTTCGACATGACGTGGTGCGCTTGCTCGCCGGCGTTCATTTCGTCGCATCACGCCGGCGTTGCCCCATCAGGTGCCGGTCATGCCATAAACTTGTAGACACGCGCCGCGCTACGATGCTTTGACGCATGCGCATTTCAGCGGGTGTGGCGTTCATCCATCACAAAAAGAGGAAGACGCTGTGTTGTCTGGGTAACGCATCAGCATAGAGTAATGTTACTCTATGGCATCGGTGTGAAAGCACCCGTTGCCGGCGGGTCGCGCCGACAGACGCTGGTCGCGCCTGGAGTCAGACTATTGAGTGCCCGCGTTTTGCTAACGTAGCGCAGCTGTGCCCAGCGTTCGCGCACGTCTAAGCTACATTGGATTATATTGGACCCTTCATGATGAGCTCGCGGCCATTTTGCTAGCTCAGCATATACCTAATTTGAAGTTACGTTATGTCAATGGATGATGAAATATATGACTGGTGCAAACGTGATAATCCTGACTCGCATATCATGTAAGAACATGACAACATACCACGCTCATAGCCTGCTCGCGGTCAATTCGCTACTTTCACATATACTAAGTTTGGTATCACGTGACGTAAATAGATGACGAAGGTAGACGACACATCCAATAATGATAACCATGACACAGAAGTCATGTAAAGCATCATTTACCTCCACCTCGTAACGTTGTGCTGATTTTAAAGTGAAATATCAACATTTCTCATTCTCTCTTTGCATATCATCGATTCCCACTGTGCGTGGGATCTGCCAATTTTTTTAGTTGAAGTTATTTAAGTCCACTTGACAGATACATTCGAGTACAGGGTATGAGTGGTTTGGTGTAAAGGGAGAAAAAGCGGTCTTTCACAACCTGACTGACCCCTTCAATTGGAGGAGATACCAAGACACAAAATTACAATATTACAGGCATCTGAAAGTGAAAATACGAGAAAAAAACGCAGAAACTCATGTTTTCCAAGACATCAAGTAATACTAACGCTCTGAAATACATACAAAATATTCATAACAAAGCAATCCATAAGGAGTGACACTATATAACCATCATAAAAGTCTCACTCACTCACTCACTCACTCACTCTCACACACACACACACACACACACACACACTCACACACACATACACAAACATACACACACACACATGTATATGGTCCAAAGGCAGGATAACCACGGCTCACTACTTGATTTCAAAAGAAAATCATGTTAAAGGAAGGTGGTATGTTCGGTGGCCAGATGGGATAGTTTGCGGTGATAACGTGGCCGCATTGAGCACCGGACTGGGTTCATTGACGAAACGTGGTAAAGGTCCTTGCCGTGAAGTGGGCGTAGTGAGGCTGATGATGAGGATGAAAATAAACAAATATACACAACTCAGCAATTCATTTGTTTATTTATTGACGACACTATGACTATTAGCAGCATCCAGCGAATATCAGTGAACCTCCGCCAGCATTTAGCCAACACTCTCCAAATGCCCTATTAACCAGTACTGGTAGAACGCGAGTAAATGTTAGTTGAACTTGCACAGGAATTATTGAACGTCACGTGTACATTGTTCTAGTAGGTGAATGAGAGAGAGAGTAGGTGAGCGAGTGAAAAATAGTGAGTGATATAGAGTGAGTGTGTAAGTCAGTGGTAATGGGTGAGTGAGAGAGTCAGTGAGCGAAGAAGTGTGAGAGTTATTGAGTGAGTGAGTGAGTGAGTGAATGAGTGAGTGAATGAGTGAGTGCAAGAGATCTAGGAAGGCACAACAACAAATCACTATATGATTATGAACTAGCTCGGTGTGGATGAATCTGTATTAAATTTTGCACAACCCTAGGCGCTATACCATACACCCAATTTCTGAGCACTTCTTGAATTGCACTTAAAGCTATATTGCAAGGTTAACTATGTCATCCAAGAATCAGCATATCCTAATATTAATGTATGTAAGGACCACAGCTTTAACATTTTTAATTATCCTTCGACCGGTAGATTTATTTTTGTCTTCATCAGTAATCAACTCATGTTCGCAAAAGATTGCAAGCCTATGGTTTTCGGGGCAGCAAACGTTTCTTATGAATTCGGCTTGCAACGTTCATTCATTTCCCAGGATGGTTACTGACACCCAATCTCCACGGAACATCACCAACACCGTCGTCAGCATCTGCAACGTACGAAGGGGAATGATATCGATGAGAGGCACTGACTTGCCTCTCATCGGGGGAGAGATGGGGCACTAATCTGGGGAGCGAGGGCACTAGTTTGGTTTTAAGTGGTGGGCCGGGCCGGCATATGTAGTTGAGTGTCATTTTGTACTTATATGTCAATGCAAAAGTAAAAGTGGGAGGGCAGGCGCCTGGTATGCCACCCTCTGGCTACGCCACTGCATCGTGGTGTAGGGCATATGAAATATTCGGAACCACTCAATTCATTACTAAACAGGGCAATAAATGTTATTGCATTTTTAAACATGATGAACGTGGCTAGATATAGGAATCGTAATGTGTTTTCGGTTCGTAAAGAAATGCTTCGCACCTAATAAATATACATAACATTTCTATGCAGTCCTAGCATTTTTTTTCATCTATGCTGACCCTACTTTGTCTAAATATCGACAAAGAGTATACATAATACAAGACGCTCTGAAGCGTAAGTGACTCAAGGAAGGTGCCTATTTGGGTAAAAAATGCGGTACCTACCACCAACAGCTCGCATACGAATCCCGATGTGTTCGTCTATTTGTTTGACAATTTGATTTGGAAGACACGAGCACATGTGGTGTGAAACAAGTTTCTGCAAATAAAATATAAAAAACACCTGCCGTATCCACAAAGTGAGTGACGATAGGGGAGCTTTCTCGGAGGTGCACGGAGTGTTTCTTAATTGGCAAGACCATTTCTGTAAGAAGGCTTGTTAGTTTAACGAGCTGGCGCATGATGTGTATGTCGAAGGCAGCGTTATCGGGCACGTTCCACGACCGGCACTGCACAGCGTTCGCCATGTTGATCGACACGTTAACCATCTGCCCTTTTATGCCCTACTGGCTGTTTCCGTGAGTCAAATGCCTATTGCTCCTGAATAACAGACGTGGACCTATCAGGTGTTCTTCAATGGGCTTAAAAGCAAGTAGGTGACGGCACTTGGAAGAAACTCATGCGTAACCCTCAACGTAAGAACTTGTAACGTGCTGAAGTGCCTATGAATCGAGGAAAACAAAGTAGACGTAGTCGCGAGGAGGCAAGCGCGCGAGCCTTCGAAAACAGACGTCTTTGGTGGCGGTGCGCTATCTGGTGAACATTGTTCGAATCACCGGAGAGGCTATTGGAGCGGCAACCTTGACCGGATATTTTGAGCGGCGACCAAAGAAGTGTACACTGGCAACACCGGTGCACACGCTGGCGGCTGCCGGACAAGGCGCGAGCATACGAAGCTTGCCGAGCAAGCTCCTAACAAACGTTGTCATAACAACCGAGTTTCCTCTGTTTCAAAACACCTGCTGCATAACGTCCATAGTGCAAGTTCACATCCGTATGACAGTCTGCTAGCCAGATGAGCAAATTTCAGACAAGACCACTCCATCCTTGTGCTTATTATAATTCAAAACTGCTTGTGAGGTGCTCAGACTATTCAGGGAAACAGCACGTTACCTCCTATGACGAATAGCGCCAGAGTAGCGGTGAATGCAGAACCTTCTGTCTGGAGCACACCGGACAACAGGTACGGCCAGAGTATTGCCACCGGAGCAAATGACAGCAGGACCAAGTACAGCGCCACTGTAAGGACGGTATACAAAGATTGTGGACAGACCATATCTGATATCCCCAGTGCAGTGTTACCACGGCTGCTGATTTATGAGTAGATCTACTGATTTTGTTTAAATTTTTCTACTGATTGAAGAATAAGGTGTTCGAATCTACTGACTTTTTTTCTTTTTATTTACAATACTGCTAGCCCTTGCAGGCTGTAGCAGGGGTGGGAGGTCAACAGGTGAACAATAGACAAACAATGTTAGGCAAAAAACAAGTCCAGCCGTCGTGGAAAATCTTGTGAGGATCTACATCCTGTAAGTACCTCGGGAGGAAGCGCATTCCAGTCAACAATAGATCGCACCAGAAACGAAAACTTAAATACATCCACCCGCGGTACATAAGCTTGGACAGAAAATGAGTGATTGGTACGAGCCGACACTCGTCCTGGGGGGCGCAGGTATACACTGGGATCCAGATTGTAGTTCTTATGATACAGGTCATAAATAAATTTTAAGCGAGCTATTTTTCTACATGTAGCTAACAATTGAAGGTCAGCCCTAGCAAGCAAAAGTGATACAGACTGTGTTCTCATGTCATTTGAATAAATAAACCTCGCGGCCAATCTTTGTACTCGTTCAAGTTTGTTAATTTCAGTTTTAGCATGCGGATCCCAGATGATAGCTGCGTACTCCAGCGTTTGTCTAACAATAGTCTTATACGCCAACAATTTAACAGAGGGCGCTGCATTACGGAGTTTCCTTCTCAGAAAACCCAGCTTTCGCTTCGCCAGTCCTGTAATGTTGTCGATATGCTTGCCCCACTTTAAACTGCTGGATATAGTAACACCTAATTATTTAAACTCATTAGAACTCTTAATTTCTCTATTGTTTATTGTGTATTTATAATTAAGGGTGGATTTTTTATTTGAAATTGTCATGCAAACAGTTTTATCAAAATTAATTTTCATGTCCCATTTTTCACACCAGTTGTCAATACATCGAAGAGCATCATTGAGGAGCATTTGATCAGAAACACTTTTCACATGACAAAACAAGAGACAATCATCTGCATATAACCTTACATCAACAAAAGGAGGCACAACTGTTGCAATATCATTCACATAAATTAAAAAGAGTAGAGGTCCCAACACGGAGCCTTGTGGCACACCTGAGGATACGCGTAAAAGAGAAGAACGTGCGCCACTTATTTCAACAAACTGCAACCTATTGCGCAAGTACGCTTTAACCCATCTTACAATTGCGGGATCAATACCAAGTATTAACATTTTTTGAATAAGTTTCTGGTGACATACTCTATCAAAGGCCTTAGAGAAATCAGTTGCTATGACATCGACTTGTTCTTTTGAGTTTATCGCTGTAGCGAAAGCATGACCAGATTCAAAAAGCTGAGTGACGTTGAAAGGCCTTTTCTAAAACCGTGTTGCTTATTATAAAACAGATTATTGTTTTCTATATATTGAAATATATATTTTGAAATTATATGTTCTATTACTTTGCATGCCGTGCATGTGATAGAAATTGGACGGTAATTACAAACATTAAGGTGGTCACCAGCTTTGATCTACAGAAACGATCGCAAATACTGTTAGTTTTTCACCGTAGGGTTTGCTTTCACGGGGCGCTATGAGTTGAGAGACAAAAGATGAGGGAAAGCCAGTAGCTCACTCGCATGACAAAGCAAAATATTTACTAGGAATGCGTGAGCGAGTGTATTTTTGAAACGAGCAGCAGCTTTGACAACAGAATAGCACAAACATTCTTTTCAACATCAACACGTGTTTCTCGCTCCCTTTGGCTCTGTACACCATACAGCTTAATTCAAAGTGTGATTATACCACAGTGTGCTACCTTCGCTTCAACACGTTGGGCTGGACAGGATCTAAAGAAGCTTGGAGCACTAGACTAGCCTGTGAACCAGTGTTTGCCCGTGTGAAGAACTATTGCAGGAAAGGCATTCACAAATATTTCGCAAGAATTTCACTGCACGTGTACTAGCAAATGAAGTTTCCAACGAGCAGCGTCCGACCACAGCCAGACTAAAGACCAGAACCAATTATTACTTTTTTGTGCTGCACTCTCTCACTTTTTCTCTTTGCCACTTCTCTGTTTTTCTCAGCATAAAAAATAAACAGAACTTGCTCACAAGTGTTACATACAGGTGGTCATTTTTGAAAAATTTTCATGGCTCCGAGCCACTGTTCCTGACATGTGGATAGGTAAATGCACGTATAGGGGAAAATTATTGTACGCACAAAAACCAATGGGGAGACATTGCAACACGATGGAGACATTGGCTGGTACATACTTCTAAGGAGAAAGTTGGTGAAGGACATAATATGACTTAATATATCTTGATATTTAACGTCAAAAATTCTCGACAAGAATATGAGAAATACTGTAGTGAATGGCTCAAGAATTTTTAACTACCTGAGGTACTTTACGTGAATTTAAATTGAAGCACCAGCATTGTAAAACACTCTTGTGGGCGCAGATCCAGAAAGCAAGCAAAGATATGCAGCACCGCCTCCTTCCCTACTTTAATTTTACTGTGTACTTCTAAGAAGAGCATCCGTTATGGCCTCCCATTGCTCGCCTTGCACTTGCCATAAGCGGATTCTCTCTCGGAAAAATCCTGTACCCGACCCTACTGGCAAACGACAATGTCGAACTTTCCTAACCACCCGTCTTCATCACAAGGATGCCTCATCGAGTATCTGTTATCACGCCTGAAACGCTAAAGCTTCAACGTGCCGAGTGCTATTCTAAACCTTTTTATACTTAATCAGCCTTGAAACGCGATAGGTTGACATATTGAGGACACCAGTAATCTGGTAGTCAATATTTTCACTATATTTTGTGAAATCTATAGTACTCTACGGTAGAATACTAATATCAGCGCTGATATTGCGATTCAATACCTAAACGTAAAGAATACAGTTTAATATCTAGTGATTTGCACTGACATTTCATGAAAACATCTGCTACCGTACTTTTATGTGCTATGGCTACACTGCCACAGCATCGACGATGGTGACCGGTATACAGTCAGGACATTCTGTTCAGTGCAAAAAACTTGTGCTGTACAATGGCGTAGGTTAGACTACACAACAACAAGATAGCGAATGACATCATGAGCTCTGTGGGGCACCTAGATGATAAGTGTGCTCTAAACAGCATGTCATAAATTAAAATTTAAAGCCAATGTGAACATTAGTGAAAACAAGCACAAATGAAGTGTTCTTGAAACGGTTAGAAAGAAACACAGGCACTTATTACTACGAAGTCCCAGCTGATCGATTCGAACGTTCTGTACAGGTTCCTATTGAACTAGGCTGGCCAAACTTAGGCGAGACGGCGCACTCAGCTGGCGTCTCCGAAGCCACTTTTTTTTAATCACGTGACTTATTCTACCGGAACTCAGGCCAGCGCCACGAACTGCCGCAGCAATCACCTGCAGGAGGGGCTTCGGAAAGAGGAACTTCCACAAAGTACATTGCAGCACGCCGCCATCACGAAAAAGCTAGTTAAAACAAACACTTTTCTTTTATTGCGACAGCAATTATATTACGGACAGTCTTGGTAGGACGTTGCCGCTGGCGTCGACGTTCGCGTCACTCACCGTACATGTATGCGTAATTAAATATATGAAAACTCAAGAAAGAAAATTAATCAGAAAAAAATGGTAGATCCTACGTAAAGTGGGAATCGGTGATATGCGAAGCATGAATGAGGAAGGTTTAATTCTCACATTAAAGTTAGTACAACAGTACGAGGCGGACGGAAGTTGTGCCGTACATGGCTTCCATGTCCCTATTATCGTGTTTGTGCATGTCATTTGTGCTCGTCATCCATTCACGTCACGTAATACCAAATTCGGTATATGTGAGTCTAGTGAAACGGCCGCGGTCACGCTATGAGCGTAGCATGTAGTCATGCCTTATGAGACACGCATGTCATGATTATCATGTTCGGACGTGTCATTTAACTTCGTCGTTTATTCACGTTACGTGATACCAAACTTGGTATATGTGAAGCTACCGATGCGGCCGCGAGCGCATCATGAGCGTGGTATATAGTCGTGTTTTACATGACACGCATATAATGATTATCTTGTTTGCATCAGCCCTATACCTTCGTCATTCAAACACGTCACGTAACGCCAAATTTGGTATATATGAAGCTAGCAAAATGGCTGCGAGCGCACAATGAGTGCCGCATGTAGTCTGTTCTACATGACACGCATACGATGATTATCATGTTTGTATGTGGGATTTAACTTGATCATCCGCTTGCGTCACGTAATAACAAATTGGGTATATATCAGGCTAGCGCAACGACCACGAGCGCATCATGAGCATGGTATGTCGTTATGTTTTTACATGACATGCACAACAAGATTATCATGTTTGCGCCAGTTACATACCTTCGTCATTCATTGACGTCACGTAATACCAAATTTGGTATATGTGAAGCCAGCGAAACGACCGCAAGCGCATCATCAGCGTGGTATGTAGTCATGTTTTACATGACACACACGTGATGATTATCATGTTTGCGCCAGTTATATACCTTCGTCATTCATTGACGTCACGTAATACCAAATTTGGTATATGTGAAGCTAGCGAAACAACCGCGAGCGCATCATAAGCGTACCATGTAGTCAGGTTCTCACATGACATGCGTGTCATGATTTACACGTGAGGGCCTGTCATTTATGTTCGCCGTGCAGTCATGTCATATACCAGTTTTCCGATATGTCATGTGAACTAATCCACCGCCCGAGCAGCAAGGCCATGACATGTAAATCATGACATTCATGATATGCAAGTCATGATTTTTATGTTATGACTAGTCACTTATGCTCTTCACACAGTCATATTGTGTGACACGAATTTCGGTATAGATCCATTATCAAAACGGCCAGGAGTATTAAAAGTCGTAGGTGGCTAGATAGATAAATAGACATGTACGGCTAAACACATCGAAGTTCGCTAAGAAATACATCGCACTTAGAAGACTCCTGGTGCGCGGAATCGAACTGGTGGCCTCTAAATTATGAGTGGGAGGCGTTAAACCCTGAGTCACGAAGGAACAGCTCCTTCCACATTCAAACATCAAGCTATTTATATTTACCACTTACCTCTGATGACGGGCATCTCGGAGAAAACTATCGTGTTTTCAGTATTACCAGCAAGATGGCGCAATGAGCGTGCGTCGCCCCATCGTCACGACGTGGCGGCGCGTGCGCTCCTTTCGCACTCGTACATTTGCCCCGCGGAGAGGAGAGCCGGGCGGACGCTAACGCACGTGCTTATCTCGTGGTAGTGACAATCGTACGTCTTGCCTGGCCTTGTAATTTTACTGGAATGAATCTGTTGTAGTTACCGGGCACACAGAGGTCACTGCGATCGTTGAGTCCCGGTTTGCGAAAACGGAGCACTTTTCAGACACAGCGAAGTAACAACTAAGACGCTTATTCGCGTTCATCTGTACCCGTGATTACGTTTTGTGCGTCATTTGTGCGTGAAAAACACAGGGCATGTTTCGAACTGCTTGCCATTCTACACGTGACCTTCAATATTGTAGCTATCGCGTTCATGTCTTCGCCTCTGCGCAAAGCTGTTACTTTTTTAACATCGAATAAAATATTGCTTAAGAATCCCCTGCAAGTTTTCTTTAATACCACGGAATAAACACATCATCTCCGTTTTGTGCATTTTCGCCATATTGCTGTACCCCTGTGAAATTCCTCCTTTCTTCCTTCAGTGCAACTTCGGATATTAGTGCTTCGAATGTTGGAGATAGACACGCTAGACACTCAGTGCGGTCTCCCCAGACGCACACGTATATATGCAAGCAAAGTAGTTAAAGTGCCCAAGGCGCATGGTGAAGCTGCAAATATTTTGTTTTACGGATGTGAAAACACCGACGTTGACAAGATGATGTCACTTCATGTTTGTCCAACTCCGTGCGACCGTGGGACGCATACCTATTACTTTTCAGTATGAAGGAAAAAATTGCTCCCACATCACTAGCCACTTATTGTTGCGCTAAGTCACTCATATCTTACTTAAGTCTCTGTAGTCTCCAGAAAAATTCTTTGCCATGCTTCTGAAGGGTGGAAGTAGCGTTGAAGGTTGGTCAATTGTTTATGATAGCTTCTGAATTTTTCTCTCATTCATTTAGATAGAACATACCAATCACAATGCCGGATGATTTTATTTCTTCTGGTTTTTCTGAGGTCATATTATCTACCAGTAATTACGTGCTTGTGTGCGTGTGCGTGATAACTTGACAGATAAATATATTCGAACAAGCCATGTGAAATCGCCCCGCTCATTGTTCAGTGCAATATCGGATATTAGTGTGTGGAAGAAGTTTCGTTATATCGTATACTTTTTGAAAAGTAGGTGCATATTTAGGGACAACAGCTCTGCTAGACAGTTTCGACAGCAAAAGTAACAGCAGTCAAATAAACAAAAAAAATGGTTGGTGCTTGCGGCAAAGTAAGCTTTAAAGGAACAGAAATGAGCGCTAAAAATGCTCACAATAGGTACAACTGCACATAGTGTTGTCCTGTTAAAATAAGGTCAGCACAGCCTTCCTCCCCACAACTTGAGAATTGATACCTTGTGCTAATTTTTTCTTCCGTTTCATCCCTAAAAATCACAGTTTCGCCGCGAAGGTGAAGAAATGAATACGATAGCAATAACTTGGAATGTAAGGTTGAGAAGGGCTAGAAGATCGAAACGTGCAGCGCACTGCTCATGAACAAATGACGCACGAAAAGAACACACACAAAAGAGCTAACTAACAACGTTTACAACTCAATGCTTAACGTGCTGTTTAAACAAAAAAGTCACAGCTTTGTCGCAAAGGCGAGGAACGAACGTGATAGCGACAAATCAGAAGGTCACACGCTGAATGGAAAGCAGATCTAAACGGTGCTGCAGTATTTCTCACGCACAAATGACGCACGAAACGTGTTCACAGGTACAGATGCACGCGAATAAGCGTCTCTGTTGTTAATTCACTGTGTCTGAAAAGCGCGTGCTTTTCGCAAACAGAAGACTGCAATGATTGCAGTGACCTTTGTGCACCCGGTAACTACAAAAATATTGTTCCAGGTAAATTTTGAAGCCAGCCAAGACGTACGATTCTCCTTACCTACGACATAAGGGCACGAGGGAGCGTCGCCCCTTCCTCGAAGCGGGACAAAATATGCGTATACGTAGAACGGACATTCAGAAATGGTGGACCTTCAGCAAGGCTTCAACTTCAGCTAGACCACTGGAGATTGATTTAAATCTAGATTTTGTCTTGTGTAGTGTGCGGGTGTCTCAAGTAGTTTGTGTTCACTGATATTGCACATTCATTATGTCAGTACCAACAAAGCCAGCTATATGCATTAACGAGTTATTGTTTGACCGGACTGAATATTTCACGGAAAGTAGTACGCAAACCAAAGGGCTCCAAGATTAGGGACGAGAAGTGGAAGACGTTTTTCGTGCCCTTATGTCCATCTGAGCATGAACTTTCATACCGCCAACTATGGACCTTTTTTTCCGAAGAGGAGGAATTTTTTCCTTCTGGGCTGTTGCGCGAGAGTAGAAAAGCCGACGTTACAACCTCGGCAGTGCACTTTTTGTTGGGACAAGGGGGGGGGGGGGGGGGGGTCACTGCGCACTAACAACAGCGCAGAGAGAACTATGGCAGCGCCCAGGGAGACTTGAGTGAAAAGGTCTAGGCAGTACATTTAACTTGGTACTCACCGAAACCAACGAGGTTGATGTCTGTCTCGTACCCGAACGCATACATGGTGAACGAGGCACCGAAAGGCAGCAGGTACTGCACGAGCAGATCAAACAGGAAGTGCGAGCACACGTACAGTGGGCCCGAGACGCCCGTCATGAGCTGGAGCTCGAGCGCACCACTGTTCTTTTCAGCGACAGGAAATATGGCCATGGTCGACACAGTTAGACCGAGTACGGCTTGCGGTAGTGTGACCCAGAAAAGTGCGACGCTCGAGGACGACGGTTTTTCATCCTTGGAAGCTTCTTCGAGGCCAGGTGCTTTGATGCGGTAGAATGGCGCAGTGGTGGTGATGCGGGCCTTGGGAGAGTTGGAGAGGGTGCGTAACAGGGCCGTGTCGATCAAGTTGAGAAGCACGTTTGCCGAGACGGGGCTCGCCGGGTTGTACCAGCCTTCGATCCTGCGCCAAAAGAGAATGCGTGTTTTAGCAGCGAGGCTGCTTGAGCTTGTCAAAGCTTCATGCCGCATCATGATTTGCACTGCAAGCTCATTTGCTTCACTCCCTGAACACGTGCGCTTGGCGTGCACTGTCGGGCGACAGATTAATCCGGCGTGAGATGTAGTAGCTCGCATAGGCGAGAGCACGAGTATTTAAGAAAAAAAAACAGATTGATGAGCTATATTTACGCAAAATTTACCGCTGACAGTACGTAGATCGCGGAGGTGCTTCTGCAATTGAGAACAGTGTTTCGCTATAACCCGCAAGGTCGCAAAAATTGCCTAAGAGCGCGTTTCAAAGGGCATCACTCTGCACGTCCGTCTTCGCGGCGCATATATATATATGAGCCGGAGAACGCCCATTACTTTCACTTACTGGGAGTGGTATCTTGTGGTCGCACTCAACACACTCAACAGTATTCCTGTGTTACGCTCTCATCAGCAAACTTAGCGTTGAAGTCATGCAGCACAAGAATGTGGCTTGGCTCGCTGCAGAGGCCACATTTGCTAAAGGAGCAAGCTAGCTTTTCTTCGTATAATATTTCAATACGTTGCTATTGCATTCATTTCTGCGCACTTGTGGCGAAACGAAATTTTTCACTTCTGCCGTTCCAAAGGCAGCTTACATGGTAGCGTTGGAGGTGATCCCGTAAGCATAGTAAGTGTAGTATTTTACAAAGTCCTTGCGTGCGAATTCCAAAAGGTTCCACTTGGCATCCTCCAGCTTATCGATAGTGGCAGCCCTCGCTGACGGCCAGGGCCTCGAAGTTCTCCAAGAACTTGTTCACCGCGGGTGCCTCTTCCACGAAACAGCGCGCGGCACCGAAGTGGACGCTGCTGCGCAGTTCCACCGTCTGGGGTAGGCCCACGCTCGCAGGCTGAGCTAGTTCGGTGGCTTCTGGGCAGATGCAATCCGAAGCAAGCTAAGTAGAAGAGCACCACCGGGACAATGGAGCCGAGAATGATGGTGAGCGGCGAGCGGGTCCAGTACAGCGCCCGCTTACGAAACAGCGCGCGCAACCGCTGGATGCCGTTCGCGGAGGTCGCGATGTTCATGTGGGCAGTCAGAGACGACTGGTGGGTGCCTGCAAATTGGCGGGAATTCCATCATAAAAGCCAATTGACGTAGTGTTGATTTATTTAGGAGTTACTCTCATGTTCATTCCATTTACAGGGGAAGATATGAAAGCATTGCATTCGAAACTTCCCCACAGCTGTCGGGGATACGAGTGACAACCGAAACCTCCCACTCAATACCTTGCGCAGTCCTGCAGTAGTCGGATAAAGTTCAGAAGTCCATGGCCGTTCCATCTCAAAGGCGGATACATACAAACCTGCTCCAATGGGCACGCACTTCAGAAAGACGTCATGAGCCGGACGGCCAGTGACCCCATTTTTACAATGCATTGCCGAGAGCATAAGCGGGATTTTTTAGTCGCGGAGGTGATCGACTGTCATGCATCAGTGATCTGGAAGTTGCTCCGGACTTCTTAGGTTTGTCAACAAAGGCTTGCTGGGCACCGCCATAACCCACTCTGTGCTATTCTTAACATGCTTGACCCCCAGAAATGCGGGGCCGAAGCTGTGACGTATATGTGTGTATGAATGGCATATGGTATATGAGCATATATGGTATATGGTGTATGAGTATATGGTATATGAGTGGTGCGAACACGATAATTATAACATGCACTTGATGTAAGAACATGACAACATATCACACTCATGATGCTCTCGCGGCTGTTTCGCTAGCTTCCCATAGACCAAATTTGGTATTACGTGACGTGTATGAATGGCGAAGGTAAATGACACGTCTAAACAAGGAAATCAATGACATGCGCGTCATGCATCAACATGACTATATGCTACCATCATAGCGCGCTCGCAGGTCGTTTCGCTAGCTTCACATATACAAAATTTGGTATTACTTGAAGTGAATAGATGATGGGCTATGGCTGGGGCAAAAATGATAATCATGAGATGCGCGTCATGTACCAACATGACTGCATGCCACGCTCATTATGCAGCTCACGACCATTTTTCTGGTTTCAAATAAACCAAGTTGGGTATCACGATGACATGAACAGACGACGAAGGTAAATGACACGTCAGAAAATGATAATCCTTATACGCGTGTCATGTAAGAACATGACAACATAACACGCTCATACCGTGCTCCTGGCCATTTCTCTAGCTCCACATATACTCAGTTTGGTATCACGTGACGTGAATAGACGACCAAGGTAAATGACACGTCCAAACATAATAATCATGACATCGAAGTCATGTACAGCATTATTTACGTCCACCTCGTAACGTTGTGCTGATTTTCAAGTGACATATCAACCGTCCTCATTCGTGCTTCGCATATCGTTGATTGCCACTGTACGTGGGATCTGCAATTTTTTTTTACTCTGTAGTTTTCAAAGAAATAAAGTTTTCACCACCAACACCACTGAGAAAAAAATGGGGCTGATTTGATGTCGTAGCTGTGAACTTCAATAGAGGTCACGCCTGCGCGGGTTTCTTCGACTTAAATCACCAGATGGCCTCTTTCCATGTGCACACTGTGCTCTCGGCGCTTATGTATAGCGCTGAAGCCAGACAGCACAAAAACCGTTTCCCTTCCTCGAGCACTCATACTTAATGACGCCGGCGTTTTTTAAATTTATTTATTCTTTTCATTCACAGAGTGCCTGCAACGCCACAGTTGTATTACTGCAGGGCATATACATACCAAGTCCAATATGATTGCTAACATTTCTGCTATAGTGGACCTTAAACATTCTGGAAAATATAACAACGTATATTAATTACAGTACGCAATCAAAAATATTTTAGTACAATAGGACACTTAGCAAACAGGTACTAAAATTGAATAGGCATGTCACAATGTCACAATGATGAAAAAAAAAGCACTGTTGTCATTCAAGTTCACGATATCCTTGGGAAGTTCATTCCAAATTTTCATTGTTTTTTTTAAAGTTGGCAAGAGTTGTCGTTTTGAATGGGTATTCCCGTATTTTATGTGTGTTGGCATTTTGTGGAACAATGTGTTGGTGCTTGTAGGTATTCTGATCTATCAATTCCTGTTAGGTTATAGTATATACTATGCAGAAGTTTGTCAAAGTTTCCGTCTTCTAGACTGTAGAGTTTCCCAGCCTAATGTGACCTCTATTTCTGATATACTAGCAAATAGGCCACATTTTTGCTGACAAAACGAAGCTGCCTGGTTTGGAATTTTTTCTATTGGTTCTGCAAGATACCTTTGCGCCGGGTCTCATATAACACAAACATATTCAAGTGTAGACCTTGCATGCAGGAAGTAGAGAGTTTCCTTTACCTGTTTTGTTGCACAGGAGAAGTTTCTGTAAATAAAAAGTTGGCCCCGTATCTGCATTTAATCTGCGAATGTCATCGAAAGGCGATAGTCTTGCGTGTGGAGAGAGTGAACAAAACATTTATTTGATGTTCTGCGCAAGAAAATCGGTGAATGGTATTCCGGAGGCGCTGCGTTAGAGTGCCTCGAGCGTGCAGCGGAGGTGAGCGAGCGCATCAAGTCACATCACACTAGAGTTACTATATATGCTACCTTTAAAAGGTAGCATATACAGTAACTCTACGTCACACGTGAGACATGAGCGCCATCTGGCAGTTTTTTTTTTTTGGAAAACAAAGACGTGGCCGTGCGCGCCCGTCTCAGAGGCAATGAGGTGTAGAACGCGAGGCGACGGGTAGGTTTCACCACCGTCTCGTCTTAGCAAAGCGTTGGAAACACTCCCCGTTCCGTGCAAGCGTTGCATGGTAAGCGCAGCGTGATAAGCGCTACGGTCGTTAAAATTACTTTTGTATGCATTTTCTAGTAAGAGATGCATATGCAGAACATATGCGAGTTGTTATGGTTCCCCAGACATCCGCAATAATTTACAATTGCACAAGCGTGAACGCTCCACCTTGAGTAACATTTGTGGTTGCTGCGGATGGGGTCGGCCGTTTCAAGTCCCCGATGCCAGTAAGAGTTGACATACAGACAAATGTGCAAGCAGGCAGGCAGGCAGGCGGGCAGGCAGGCAGGCAGGCAGGCAGGCAGGCAGGCAGGCAGGCAGGCAGGCAGGCAGGCAGGCAGGCAGGCAGGCAGGCAGGCAGGCAGGCCAAAAGTTTTGCTTCGAAGGTCCCCAAGAAAGACTATCGTCTTTAAAAACAACATTCTGCTTGCCTTTAAGATCATTTCGTCTATGTGTCTGTTCCAATAGACTGATTCTGGTGAAATGAATTACTAAATATTTGACACTCAGGTACTTTTTTAACTGCCTCTTCATCAATACTGTATGTGCGCAGGATTTCTGTTTTTTTTTGTGTTTTTTTATAAACCTGATGTGGTTGCACTTTCAAATATTTAAGCAAATGTTTCACGTGGAACACCAGTGTACTACTGTGTCTAAGTCATCTTGTAAGAATTCAGTGTAGTGCGATTGAAGTGATGTGACGGTAGGTGACGAAGTCATCTGCGAATAATTTTAGGCTAGATTTCATATTTTCTGCTATATCATTTATGTAACCCAAGAATAACAGCGGACGCAGAACGCTACCTTGTGGCACGCCTCAGAAGGCACATTTACATATGAAGACATTTTAAAATTTGAGACGACACACTATTTACAACCACTTAAGTAATTCTGGAGCCAGGTTTGCAGCTTGGCATTATTATTCAGTGAAGCAAGTTTAACTTTTAGCAGATTATGTGAGACTATATCAAATGCTTTGCGAAAATCGAGAAACAACGGATCAACAACGTTGTTACGATCAAGCATAATCAATATTTCGAGCTGAAATTCAGTTATTTGGGTCACGCATGAACAACCCTGGCGAGATCCACGCTGGAAGTGAGTGAAAAATTTAGTATATTCGCGATATTTGAACAATGTGCTATAAATAATGTGTTCTAAAGTTTCCAACAGGTAGAAATCAAGGGTATGGGACGTTAATTTTGTATACTTGTTTTTTGCTTTCTGCCTTGTGCACAGGAACCCAATTTCTTGTTTTCTAATCCCCTGGAACCCCGGCGGTGTCTAGAGACAACTTGTACATTATGCATAAATATTGTGCATTAATAACGCGACACGTTTTAAGTACATGAGATTATATACCATCAGGCCCTGTAGTCTTAGACGTGTCGAAAGTACGCAGCAGACTATTCAAACCAGTGTAGTCGATTTCAATTTCATTACCAAAATTATTAGAAGATAATATTGGTGAGTGCTAAGTCTTTTTTGAAAAAACTGACTGAAAGTAGGCGTTAAATGTTCCAGCTTTCTCCAAGTCATCAGTTATTGCCTCAGCTAAGAGGTCAGGGATAGCTGTGTCATCTTTTCTGTTGCTCTTGACGTACTTGCAAAATAATTTTGTATTGCGCTTCAGGTCTGTACTTAGCTTGTCAAAGAAGACGAATTTCGCCTGTTTCAGTTTTAACTTAGGCTCTTTGTTTACACATTTAGGTTTTATTTCATTTACTGCTCTTCTGTTTTTAAGGAAGTTTTTGTGGGCATTAGCTGCTTTTCTAACAAGTTTGCGTATCTCAGAGTTGATCCAGGGTTTGTGTTTTTTCTGCATCTTAGACTCCTCTGAGGTTCATGCATATTCACCAGCTCTGTACTCTTGTCACATAAAATGTTCCACAATTCACCCATACCGCATGACTTCGATATGCATGAAAAAGTGGGATATTACAAGACCAGTCAGCTTTAATAATAGCGTCAAAGTTCCCTTTGTCACACATGAAAACATTGTGAGGGGGTTGCTTACACGCTGGTATTCTAGAAAGGCTTAATTCCCCAACAACAAAACTATGATTATTATTCTGGACATACATTAGTGTGAACAATAACATTTTCATCATTGCTTAGTAAAAGATCTAGTAATGCGTTGAACCGTGTTGGTTCGTTCCCATAATGCTGTAGTCCATAGACGCGCGAATGATTTCTGAAAAGGCAGAACGATACCGAGTTTCCTGTAAGGTTACACAGTCGGATTCCCATTTCTTGTTGGGCAGATTGAAATTCCCTCCCAGTATCACGTATTGAGATAT